TTCCAGTCCAAAGCTCTCAGGTGGTAGAGACGAGGTACCAGAAGCTTTGAGAATCTCGGTAAGTTTGCCCTTTTGATTTTGCATCTAAGTCGCTTTCTAGCTGGTCCCCTGGAGCGTCCCTGGACTGGTATGTGAAAGGGAAGCGAGACCCTGTGGAGGTTCCTGGTACCATGCGGGGCCTCTGGGTCACATGCATTCTGGCTTGGCCCCCTTCCATGTTCCCTGTAGACCCTCCACCCAGAACCTCCCACCCGCCTCCAAGCAGCCAGCACAGCTCACCACGCACATTTGACCATGATCATGTAGACATCGATGGTGCAGATGGGCGGCTGGGGCAGCCGCTCCCCCTTCTCCAGCAGGTCAGGGATCTCCCGGGCTGGGATCCCATCGTAAGGTTTGGCCCCAAAAGTCATCAGCTCCCACACAGTCACACCTAGGGCAGAGACAGGATGAGACGGGCAACAGGAGGAGCGTTAGCGTCTGCGTCCCAGAGGCTCTGTCCAGGAGCCTGGCACCTGGGGGAAGGAGGGGAGGGATGGGTTGGCAGAGGGCAGGAGCTCCCTCTAGTCCTTCCCCAACCCCTGGGACGTGCACAGACCCTAGCAGGTTGAAGCACTGCAGTCCTCCCTTCCAACCCACATTGATGCTGAGGAGTCTCCGTTCATTCTCATCCTTTCACCAACATCCCACCATGGACAGGACCATGGCTCCTCGTCCACCCCGCCCAGTGCTGCCCCCCACGCACCGTAGCTCCACACATCACTCTGGTGGGTGAACCGTCGGCGGAGAATGGACTCCAGCGCCATCCACTTGATGGGCACCTGAGAGGGAAGAGAAGTCCTGAACTAGGTGTGTTGGGGGTGGGGGGGATTCTCAGAGTGCTCCCAGGCCCAGACCCCACTCCACCTTGCCCCCATCTGCATGGTACTCCGTCTCGTCGATGTCCAGCAGCCGAGCCAGCCCAAAGTCTGTGATCTTGACGTGGTTGGGACTCTTGACCAGTACGTTCCGGGCAGCCAGGTCCCTGTGCACAAGCCGCACTTCCTCCAGGTAGCTCATTCCCTGGGATGGGAGGCATCCTTGTTAATCAGGCTCTAGTCACTCTCCCCCAGGAAACCTCCCCATCCCCACCCTGCGTGGGGGCAGGCTTGCTCTCAGGGGCACCCATGGCGCCCAGACCCCTGGGTGCGTACCTTGGCAATCTGCACACACCAGTTCAGCAGGTCCTGGGAGCCCAGGCGCCCGCGGTGTTCGCGGACGTGGTCCAGGAGGCAGCCGTAGGGCATGAGCTGTGTCACCAGCTGCACCGTGGAGGTCAAGCAGATGCCCAGGAGGCGCGACACATAAGGGGAGCCCACACCAGCCATCACATATGCTTCCTGGGGGCAAGGGGGCACACTGAGGGGGTGTGGGAGACCACGAACCCCAACCACCACGCGCCCCTCCTGAGGGCCAAGGTGTGACTGGGGACCCCCACTGGACCCGACCCCATCTGACACCAACCAGAACCACAGCCCACAGGATGGGGAGGTGAAGAGTCCAGGTTTGGGGATAACGCAGGTGTCTCCTTAAATCCCAGGGGAGAGGGAGCTCAGAGCCAGACCTGCAACCAGGGGCCCTCCTGTGCTCCCGGCTGGGGAGGGTGGAGGGACTTACATCCAAGATTTCTTTGTTGGCTTTGGGAGATGTGTTTTCCCTCAACACTTTGATGGCCACTGGGATCTTCACGTTCTCCCCATCGGGGATCCAGATGCCCTGGGCAGAGAGCGGGGAACGTGAGCAGGAAACGGCCGGCCCAAGAAGGTCATTCCTGTGTTTCCCCACCCCTGGGCCAACCTCACAATTTACCAAGAGCCTCATTATCTAGCCCCACTCACCCATCCCTTTCCCCCGTTCCAGCCTCTATAACTGCCCTACCAAACATCACCGCCCCCAGCTCAGGGCCGCCTTCCCCCACAGAACCCTTGGTCACACCCCAATGCACCCTCTGGGACCGCCCACCCCAACTTTGGCCCCACCCCTGACCTTGTAGACGGTGCCAAAAGCTCCGGATCCGAGCACCTTCACCTTCCTCAGCTCCGTCTCTTTGAGGATCCGCATCTGAGCCTGGTTGGGCATCGCCCCGCTAGGCGTCAGCGGCTCCACCAGCTGTGGGGACAGGGTGCGCCTGCGTCAGTGCCTGGAGGGCTGGGCCGCAGACCCCAAGCAGGTAGGGAGGCCCTCACCTCCGTTTCCTGCAGCAGCCTCCGCATCGTGTACTTCCGGATCTTCTGCCGCCTTCTCCTGATTAGGATGCCGAGGACTACCCCCACGACCATGACCAGCAGAATGCCCACCACAGCAGCAATGATGGACGTCACAGGGCTGCAGACAGGGGCCAAGGTCAGGGGTTGGGGAGCAGTCTTGGGGAGCAGGGCTGAATGGGCCCCATGGAGGCGCAGGAAGGTCACTGGTGTTTGGAAAGGGACTTTGGAAGGGTGACCCACAGACTTCTACCCACTCTTCCCTGTTTTAAAACCTCCCTTGGCTCCCTACTGCCTCCAGGATCAAGTCCAAACTCCTTGCTGGGTATTCAAAGCTCTCACCACGCACATCCCCACATTGTCTATGCTCTTACCCCTGGCTTAGCCCAGGATTCTCAAACTTCCTGACAAAAACCACCAAGGAGCTTGTTAAAATGCACAGGTCTGGAGCCCCACCCCCAGAGTCTGGCTGTGGGAATGGGGTGGGGCCCAGGAATGTGCACCCAGTGATTCTGATGTTCTAGCCAAACTTTTCACCCACAGGTCATGGTTTTCCACGCCTCCCAACCTCTGCACATGCTGCTACTTCTGCCCGGACCACCCCTTCTCTGTGGGATCACCCTTCAGACTCGGCCTGGAACCGCTGGCACTCCTGGGCATTGAGTGTCCTCCTTGCCCCTCCCCTGCTTAGCCAGGGGCTGGCGCATTGCAGACTCTAGTGAACGCTTGCTTCCTAGACAAATGATTGCCTAGGACATACGCCAATCTTTTTCTCCCCAAAGCCCTTTGCCCAGCTCCCCACTGCCCAGAAGCCCAGTCCAACCCTGTGGCCTGCTGGTGAGGGAGGCCCCATGCCCTCCAGATCCAGCCTGAGCCTGACTCAGACTCACCCTGATCCCTCCTCTGTGCTGACTAACAGAGCACCACGCACGCCAGGACCTTCCAGGAAGCACAGCCTAGGTTTTTCCGACCCTTCCCCAGGAAGCCACTTAAGCTGCTTTCCCCCTAAGGCAAGTGACCTACCTGCCCCTCTTTCAAGACCTGGCTCAAATGCCACCTCCTTCTTGAAGCCTGCCTCCACCCCCTCCTCTCCCTCAGGGCTGCAGCTGCACCCTCTTCTCCATCTGCCTGGAGTCCCAGGGTCCCTTACAAGACATCTAGCTACTCGAGGGTGGGAGATACTGGGAACCTGTGCCATCTTTTCCTGTTCCCCAGGCCACAAGCATCCTGAGCAGGTCCTCCAGCCACTTGTTGAAACGAATTGGAAGGAGGACCCACAGTGGAAGAGTGGGCAGGAAAGGGACCTGTGTCATGTCAGGAGGTGCCCCGCCCCCTCCTTCGTTCAGCAGTGACCACCCAGGGGCCGGTGGGGGACGGGGGAGCAGCCAGGGGCATGTCCTGGGGACCACGCTGACCTGGCTCTCTGCTCGGCGGGGCAGCCCTTCTCATCCAGGTCCACGCAGCTGCAGGAGAGAGAGGCCTGTGAACAAAGCTGGGCACCACCTCCTGGGCTCCCTCCCGCCGCCCAGCAACCCCGGAGGGAGGTGTGGCTGCCTGGTGATCCCCGTTGGACAATGGCAGAAACTGGGCTCAAGGTCATCAGTGATCTTCCTATCACCCCACAAGGGAGTCCCGTCCAGCCGGGGAGCCCCCTGCCCCCGTCCTCCTGCCCCTCCCTGCGGTGTGTCCTGTGGGGGCCCCCAAAGGAGCACCGAGTCCCAAAGCCCAGCCATCCCCTCCCTGAAAGAAGGCCAGGGCAGCGAACCGGCCCCACTTCTGCAGGACAGTCGGCGGCACCTGTGCAGGAACGTCTGTGACGCAGCAGCCCCCCTCTCAGGGTGTGCCCTAAAGATGTTCACTTGTACAGGGAGCTCCCGTGCAATAAACTTCCAAAAAATGAAAATAAAAGGCCCTGGCCGGGTAGCTCGGTTGTTCAGAGTGTCTCCCGAGACACCAAGGTTGTGGGTTTTATTCCCATCGGGGCACATGCAGGAAGCAACCAGTGCATGCGTAACTCGGTGGAGCAACAACATCGATGTTTCTCTCTCTCTCTAAAAAACAATCAATAAATAAAAATTTAAAAATAAAGAAGCCTAATCAATATCCCTCAAACGGGGACATGGTTAAATAATACCACATCCACGCGATCGCTTGAGCAGTTCACAAAAGGAGGAGGTGGATCCATGCGCACTCACAAGAAAGGCCTTCCAGGGCACACGAAGTGGGGGTGGGGGTGGGGGGCAAAGTGCAGAACAGTATCCCAAGTCTGATCCCCTTCACAATGAAAAGGGCACACACACAAACCCACACTGGTTACATGTGAGTTGAAATTGCCGTTTCCTGGGCATTTCTGACCTATAACAACAGCAATCTTCTATGACGCAGCCCAGCATGTGTATGTGAATGTGCGGAGGGAAGCCTGCAGGAGGCACACACCCCAGTGAATCCGGAGGTTCTCCCCAGGGAGGGGGGAGCAGGGGCAGGGATCGAAAGGGCAGGTGCGCTTTGCAGTGTTTATACTTCTGAATTGCTGAAAATGTTTGTCACAAGGATGCATCCACGTATTTCATGTGTAATTAAAGACAACTTTGGGGGAAAAAAAAAAAAAGAATAGGGTAGATCACCATGTTAGGACATGAAAAAACACTGCAAGATCCTGTCAAGTGAAAAAAAAGCCATTTGCGCCCTAGCTGGTTTGGCTCAGGGGATGAAGCGTCGGCCTGCGGACTGAAGGGTCCCAGGTTCGATTCCGGTCAAGGGCATGTACCTTGGTTGTGGCACATGCCCAGTAGGGGGTGTGCAGGAGGCAGCTGATCAATGTTTCTCGCTCATCGATGTTTCTAGCTCTCTATCCCTCTCCCTTCCTCTCTGTAAAAAATCAATAAAATATATTTTAAAGCCCTAACCGGTTTGGCTCAGTGGATAGAGCATCGACCTGCGGACTGAAGGGTCCCAGGTTCGATTCCAGTCAAGGGCATGTACCTTGGTTGCAGGCACATCCCCAGTGGGGGTGTGCAGGAGGCAGCTGATCGATGTTTCTAACTATCCCTCTCCCTTCCTCTCTGTAAAAAATCAATAAAAATATTTAAAAATATATATATTTTTTTTTTTTTAAAGAAAAAAAGCTATTTGCAAACAATACGCATGATGTATGGTCTACGAAACCATTTTGGTGGGGGAAAATAAAGGCCCTAGCTCAGCGGTTCTCAACCTGTGGGTCGCGACCCCTTTGGGGGTTGAACGACCCTTTCACAAGGGGTTGCCTAAGACCATCGGAAAACACATATATAATTACATATTGTTTTTGTGATTAATCACTATGCTTTAATTATGTTCAATTTGCAACAATGAAATTGGGGGTCACCACAACATGAGGCACTGTATTAAAGGGTCGCGGCATTAGGAAGGTTGAGAACCACTGCCTAGCTGGTTTGGCTCAGTGGATAGAGCCTCGGCCTGGGGACTGAAGGATCCTGGGTTCGATTCTACTCAAGGGCACATGCTCGGGTTGATGCAGGAGGCAGCCAATCAATGATTTTCTCTCATCATTGGTGTTTCTACTTCTCTCTCCCCTCTCCCTTCCTCTCTGAAATCAATGAAAATATATTTATAATTTTTTTCATAAAAATAAGTTAGAATACAGATAAAAACAACTGGAGAACAGTACTATACATACATATATGTAACATGTTGTAATAATACACGTTAGAATGCACAGATAAAAACAACTGGAGAGTATAACATGTTAGAATAATATATATGTAAGCATGTGCACAGATAAAAACTAGGGCAAAACACTATAACTGATAAACAGTGGGGACAGAACTGCTAGCAACACTAGTTTATATTTTATGTTTCAATAAAAAATGTTAGCCGAACCGGTTTGGCTCAGTGGATAGAGCGTCGGCCTGTGGACTCAAGGGTCCCAGGTTCGATTCCCGTCAAGAGCTTGTACCTTGGTTGCGGGCACATCCCCACTGGGGGGCGTGCAGGAGGCAGCTGGTCGATCTCTCTCATCGATGTTTCTAACTCTCTATCCCTCTCCCTTCTTCTCTGTAAAAAATCAATAAAAATATATATTAAAAAAAATGTTAACCTGTTACTTTTGGGATCAGACAAAAAGGAGGTGAAAATTAAGCCTCAGATTTTAGCAGCGCAGAGCCGTCCCCTTTTGTAATGCCGCAGAGGCTCCTGGGACAAAGCCCGCCTTTAGCAGAAAAGGGCCCGCAGACTCACGAGTGGGTGCAGTTGATGGGGCATGGCTGGCACGTGCCCTCCTCGTCGGGGAACTTCCAGATGGGCATGAAGGAGAGGTCAGGCTTCACGCCACTGGGGCACCGGGCCACACAGAAGGGAGAGTCCTTGTAGTGGGCGCAGGCCACACACTGGTCGGCCTCCTGGGAAGGCAGGAAGGTCTGTGAGGGGCTGGGTGTAGGGTGAGGCGCCTGCGCCCCCTTCGAGCCTCCGACAGCCACTCAGCAGCACTTTTCACGCTGCTCCTGGGACAGCCTACACCTGCTGTGTCTACTGCCCCTGCTCTCCATCCAGGCCCGCCCGCCCTCACCTCCCTCCTCACCTCCCTCCCCACCCCCGCTTCAAAGCTTGATCCCTGAGCTGGGGGCTTCGGATGAAGAACTGGAAGCCAAGGGAGGGAGCTCATTGCGAAGGTCTAACAGCAAGTAGTAATAGTCATGAACATGCAGAAAGCCTTTCCCGTGCTCAGGCCGGTGCAAACCCTATGTTACGTCAGTTCTTCCTGTCCCCTAAGGAAACAGGCACCATGTGACACTCGCTTTACACATGAGGTTGAAGGAGGCCCTGCACTTGAATCCAGGCAGTCTGATGCCTAAGCCCACAAGTCTATCCAACCGCCTTGGCACAGTCACAGCCAAAACACAGGCTTCCGCCCAGCCAGCGTGGCTCAGTGGTTGAGCGCCGACCCTGTGAACCTGGAGGTCATAGTTCGATTGCCAGTCAGGGCACATGCCCGGGTTGTGGGCTCGATCCCCAGGGCAGGACGTGCAGGAAGCGGCCGATGAATGATTCTCTCTCATCATTGATGTTTCTCTCTCTCCCTTTCCCTTCCTCTCTGAAGTCAATAAAAATATTTTAAAAAGAACGCAGGCTTCCCTGGGATCTCTGCACAGTCTGGAGGGTCTCAGGGTCCATCACACAACTCACAGTCCGCAGCATAGAGTCTCCTTCCACCCTCCTGCTGTTCCACCCTCCTGCTGTTCCACCCTCCCGCTGTTCAGGTCTGAGCTCAGGGCTCTCTCCACAGATGTCTTACCAGACTTGGCCGGGTCCCTGGCAATCTGCCCCAACCCACCGTTGCTTCCCTCCACCCAGCTCTGAGCCCACCAGCACCTCACCGATCCTAAGCAGGTCGCTGAGCCATTCTGGGGCTGGCACTCGGGGTGGCAAGGCAGACAGTACCTATCCTTCACGTACTCCCTGGGGAGCCTGTGAGAGGGGATGGCGGGTGAGGGGGTCTGGAAGGAGCCCCCGTGCACCCCTCCGCCCTCCCCCTGCTCCGCCCCGCATACCCCTGCAGTACTCGGCACTCCTCCACGCACTCCTGGCCCCGAAGGAACTGGCTGCAGTTGACACACTGGGTGGGCCCCGGACCCCAGCAGTGCCCGTGGGCGCACAGCGGGTAGCAGGCCTGGCCCTCACCCACTGCAGTGAGAGGAAGGAGTCAGAGGGGACTCTTAGGGAGGCTCAGGCCCAAGTGAAGCAGGGGAAGAGGCTGCGGGTGGATCTGGGTGGGAATAGGGCCTGGGCAATGCAGGGAGAGAGAAGAGTTCTGAGGTCCCAGGAAGAGAGAGGAAAGGGGGGAGGGGGCAGGGGGATGCCGAGGCAGTGAGGCAGGACTCAGCTAGAAGCCATGCCAAGGGGTCAAGCCGGCCAGAGCTGTGTCAAGGGTGGCGCCCCGGGGGCGGGCAGTCTGCACGAGTCCCAGGTTGCTGCTGGGAGGGCCCCGGGCACTGCGTGCTGGCAGACGGGGAGCGGGCAGCGCTGGGCTCCCTGTCTTACCACACTCATCCTCTGGCCGGTTGGCACTGTGGAGCAGGGCCTGGTGAGGGTTCCGGAAGAGCTGGTCCCAGGGCACCGTGTGGACAAAGCAGAGGTGGGCGTTGCGGTGGATGAGGGCCAGCCCACTGCCCAGTTCCCGCAGCGAGCGCAGCCCCAGCCATCGGATGCCCAGTCCTTGCAGGGTCAGCGAGTAGGCGCCGCTGTGGGAGAGGAGTGTCAGCTGCGGGGTGGGCAGCCATCACTGACCCCTCCCCCGTCAGCAAGGGCTGCCCTCACCTGCTGTCCCCATAGAGAGGCTGCCACCGGAGCCCCTGGGGAGCAGGACGCCCCACATGCCCACGCGTCTCCCAGCCCCCCTCCGGCCCCCTCCTCCAGGTGCTCACTCATATAGAACGCGTCCCCGGATCACTTGCAGGTTCTGGAAGACACTGAGGTCAGGCATGCTGTCTGGCCACGCCGAGATGTACAGGTAACCTGCAGGCACAGGGGGAGGCTAGGGTGCGGGGACAGGATGGCGCCCCCAGCCCCTTCCGAGCAGGACGCAGGGGCAGAGCTCACCTGTGATCTCCTCCAAGGTCTCAAACACTCTGAGCTGCTCAGGCTCCAGGGGGGCAGTGTTGGAGGTGGAGTTCCTAGAAGAAAGATGAGAGGAGTGGGCAGGGCCCGGAGGGAGCGAGCACAACCCCAGGGCCGGCCCTCTCCCCGCTCCTCTCCGCCCTCCCCTCTATTAATAACCGCACTTAAACCCTTTGCTCAAGCCCGGCTGTTCCCATCTTGAGCTACAAAGCCCAGGCCCTAGTTTGGCAGGACCCATCAAAACAGTATTTATATCCTTTGATCTAGAAATTCTACTTCTAGGAATGTGGCCTGGAGGAACACTGGCCCCTGAGGCACGTACAAGGCAGAACTGTTTGTCAGAGCAAAAACTGGAAACAGCCCTAGCTGGTCTGGCTCAGTGGCTAGAGCGTCGGCCTGGGGACTGAAGGGTCCCAGGCTCGATTCCGGTCAAGGGCATGTACCTTGGTTGCAGGCACATCCCCAATAGGGGGTGTGCAGGAGGCAGCTGATCGATGCTTCTCTCTCATCGATGTTTCTAACTCTCTATCCCTCTCCCTTCCTCTCTGTAAAAAAATCAATAAAATATATTTTAAAATAAATTGGAAACACCCTAAGCACCCATCGGTAAGTCGGGGAGCTGGTAAATATAATCCCGATCTCTCCAGACGACAGACAAAAAGCTAACACCCAGGCGCACTCAGTGTGTGCCAGGCACTGTTCTAAGAGCTCATGCATATTAACTCGTTCACACTTTATAACCGCTTCATGAGGTTGGAACTACTTGTGCCCCCATTTTAAAGATGAGGAAGCGAAGGCCCAGTGAGGTCACATGCACAGTAAATGGTAGAGCCAGGTTTCAAACCCAGGCGGCCTGGCTCCCAGGCCTGGGCCCTTAGCTGCTACTCTTTGCTGCTGCCACCTGCTCCATAGCTGTCGAAAGAATGAGGCAGAACCGTCACGACCAGCTCCCTAAAGGAAGGAGCAGACAATACCCAAGGTATGCTCCAGCTCCGTTTACCTAAACCAGTGGTCGGCAAACCGGCTCGCGAGCCACATGCAGGCTCTTTGGCCCCTTGAGTGTGGCTCTTCCACAAAATACCGACTTCTGTGCATGGGCCACGAAGTTTCAATCGCACTGTACGTGCGCGCCCGCACGTGGTATTTTGTGGAAAAGCCACACTCAAGGGGCCAAAGAGCCGCATGTGGCTCGCGAGCCGCAGTTTGCCGACCACTGACCTAAACCAGCCCTCCCTCCCCAGCAGAACTACCAAAACGATGTTTCTGGCCCTGGCCAGGTAGCTCAGTGGGTTAGCGTCGTTCCCATACACCAGGGTTGCGGGTTTGATCCCGTCAGGCCCCATGCAAGAATCAACCAATGAATGTACGGAACAACATACTGACTTTGGCTCTCCCCCTTCCTCTCTCTCTCTGTCTAAAAATCGATAAATTTAAAAAACCTGAAACTTGCCGAAGCCGGTTTGGCTCAGTGGATAGGGCGTTGGCTTGCGGACTGAAGGGTCCCAGGTTCGATTCCGGTCAAGGGCATGTACCTGGGTTGCGGGCACATCCCCAGTGGGAGGTGTGCAGGAGGCAGCTGATCGATGTTCCTCTCTCATCGATGTTTCTAACTCTCTATCTCTCTCCCTTCCTCTCTGTAGAAAATCAATAAAATATATTTAAAAAAAAAAAAAAAAAAAAAAAAAAAACCTGAAACTATGTTTCTCCGTGTGTCTATGTGCAGATAATGGTCTAGAAGACACACACCCCGTTAACAGTGTCTCCTCTGGAAAGGGCAGTAACGGTGGAAGAAGTGTTGAAAGGAATCTTCTCTTTTTTATTGAAATATAATTCACATATAATAAAATGCACAGATTTTTACTAGGCAATTTGATGAGTTTTGACAAATGCATTCATTCAAGACTCCACCAAGACACAGAACATTCCCATCATCCCAGAAATTTCCTTCCTGTCACTTTCCAGTCCCCGTCCATCCCCCCCGCCCCCCAGGACAACGCTGTTCTGACTGCTATCACCAGGGTGGTTTGGCCGGTCTGGAACTCACATAAGGGGAATCACAGTGTGGACTTTCTTGTCTGGCTAATTTCCCTTAAGATAATGTTCTTGAGAACATGTATGTGATCAGTGTGTTTCTTTTTGTTGCTGAGAATTTCATTGTATGGACAGACGATCATCTATTTGTTCACCTACTGATGCACATACGTGTTATTCCCAGGTTGGGACTCTCAGGAGATAAAGCTGCCATGAACTCAAGGAGAATGTAACTTGACCTGGATGGCTTGACCGCCACACAAGTGCACGTTCATGGATAACGTGTCATTTATGGAAATAACACCCCTCCCAGGAGTCCCCGCTCTCTCTGAATTCCAGGCCTCCCACTTCTGGCTCCTGCCTCCCCCCTCCCCCACCAGATGCTGCCACTCCTGGGTCTTCAGGAATCGGTGACTGCCCGATACTGTCTCCGACCATTGTGCCCGCCCTTAATCGGAGTATCCTTACCCCTTAAAGCTCTCTGGCAGAAACGCCAGGCTCCCAAAGATCTTCTTGCAGCCGGCAAACTCCTGGATATTGGCACTGGTGACTGCCCTCGCCTCCCGCAGGTGTTCCATGCCCAGCCCATAGCACACTGTGGGAGTGGGCAGGTGAATGGGCCACGTCAGCCCGGCAACGGGACTGATCAGCCCCACATGGAGCACCAGGAACTCAGACTCTTGGGTCCCGTCCACAGTCCCCTCTTAGGGCCACATGCCCTCTCCCCACACTGCCAAGATATGGGGGAGCTTGTGGGACTGATCTGGGGGGGGGCAGGGCAGAGACAGTGGGAGACAAGGACTGAGTCCCAGGAGGGTCTGAGGAAGCGGGGACAGTGGGCGAGGCCAGACAGGGTGTGCAGAGGGCCAGGAACCACAGCATGGTTGGGGAGGCGGTGGGTACCTCGGGCACAGGGCTTGCTGCACTTCTCACACCGCTGTGTTCCGTCCTCAGCTGTCACCTCTTGGTTGTTCAGGGGACAGACCAGGGTGCAGGATCCCACGTCCGTTGACAGGTAGTTGTCTGAGGAGACCAGGATTTTGTGTCCATGCGCCCCAGCCCCTCACACCCCACCGTGAGCAGTGTCACCGTGCCCGGGCAGCACAAAAAGAATGACAGCAACCAGGACTGAAAGGCCCCTCCGGCCAGCCTGAGCGTTTACCACTCGTGTACTCCGCACAACAAACCTAAGCGGGAGACACGGTGAGATCCCCATTTTGCCAAAAGGGAAGCCAAAGCACGATTTTACGTAAATTACTCCAGGTCATTGTGCCAGTGAGTGGAGGAGCCAGGATTTGAACTCGTTCAAACTTTATAACCACCTTATGAGGTTGGGGCTCCTATTGTACCCATTTTAGAGATGAGGAAACTGAGACACAGTAGGGTCACATGACCAGTCAGTGCTCTGGCTCCCAAGACTGAGCTCTTAGCTTCTACTCTCTCTGCTGCCCCACAGCTGTTGGAAGAACGAGGCAGCTCCCCAAAGCAAGGGGCAGACAGTACTCCCCACAGGCTCCCACTTACATAAACCAACCTCCCCAGCAACATCCCTGAGACCCTGCTTCTCCGTGGCACTCACAGGGACAGGTGGTCACACAGCTGGCACCAAAGGTGTAGCGGCCCTCGGGGTTGGGCATGGACTCAAAGGTGTCCGTGTTGTAGGTGACCAGGGCTGGGCAGTGCAGCTCACAGATGCCACTGTGGTTGAAGTGGAGGCAGGCCTGGGGGGACAGGCAGCTGGTGGTCACTGGGCTGCTTTCCCCTGATGTGCCAGGGGCAATAGGGCAGGACCAGGCAGGGTGACCCTTCCCTAGCTCCCCCAAAGGTGGGGCCCAGGGGGAACATACCAGGCAGTCAGAGTGCTTGGGGCCCGTGCAGCCGGCAGCACACTGCTCGTGGCAGCAGTCGGTGGGCAGTGAGCCCTTGCAGCGGGCACAGCCGCTGGCACACAGAGTTCGAGTCACTGTCAGGCAAAGGGCAGGATGAGGGCTGGGTGGCCACCCGGGCACCAGACCCCCACCAGCAGCACCTTCTGGGGAAGAGTCCCTGCCCCAGGGGACACACCTGAGGCCCGGTAACCCGCCCCTCCCCACTTCACCTCTATTCCACCAGCCCGGCCCCCCAGACTCCATGCCTCCCGGAGACTCACAGATCTGACAGTCCTTGGAACTCTCTCCCCAGCAGTGGGAAGGGTTGCAGGATGGATAACAGGGTTTGCCTGGAGAGAGAACAGAGAGACGGTGAGACAGAGCAGGAGGCAGCATGCACAGTGAGGGTGAGACCCAGGCGAGCCAAGGGGACTCCAAAAACAGAGACACAATCAAGAAGCAGAGGGAGCCTGGCCAGGGAGCTCAGTTGGTTAGAGCTTCCAATGTGCCAAGGTTTCGGGTTCGATTCCCGGTCAGGGCACATGCCTGGGTTGCAGGCTCGATCGATCCTCAGTGGGGGGGTTTACAGGAGGCAGTTAACTGATGCTTCTCTTTCATCATTGATGTTTCTCTCTCCCCCTCTCCCTTCCTCTCTCTGAAATAAATTTAAAAAATATTTTTTAAAAAATCAATAAATAAAAATTAAAGAAGAAACAAAGGGAGACAGAACAGAGGGCCACAGAGATGAAGAGATGGCAGGAGGCACCAAGAAAGAGGAAGTGGGTGGTGTTGGTGCAGGGTTGGGGGATATAAGCAGGATTTGGGGGGGCGGGGAGCTGAGAAGGAGGAGGCTGCAGGCGGGGAGGAGCGGCTTACAGGCCCGTGAGCGGTTGGTGTCTATCTGCAGGAGGGCCAGCCGGTTGTTCTTGTGGAAGATGTCCTTCCACAGGACCGTGTCCTGGTGGCAGAGCTGTGGGTTCCGCTGCATCAACACCCCTCCCTTCAGGATCTCTGTGGGATGGACAACAACCAGGCATCTGTCTGTCAGCTTCTGCTCCCGCCCCCGGCCTTCTAAAAGGGGAGCGGGCTTCTGAAACACACCCCAGGTCCCCCGGGGAACAGAGAGGACACCCTCAGCATCTTTGAGCCCGACCAGTGCCATCCCCGCCCCGTCGCCCCCACATACACAAACAGATGAGGTCCGGGAGGAGGGAGTTGTCCGTGTCAGGGTGCAGATGCCCAGGGACTCTCTCTTCTCCTCCCGCCTCTGCTCTGTGCTTGTTGTAAAAAGAGGGACTCTGGAGTCTGAAACCCCGCCTCACCACCCACTAGCTGCGCAACCTCGAGCAAGTCACCTATCCTCCGTAAACCTGTTTTCTCATCTGTGAAGTGAGAACACCGTGAACGCTCCCTGGCGAGCTCACGGCCCGACTGAAATAGAATCATTGCACGCAGGGCCGCTGGCACGCAGGGTCTGGGCCACTGTCAGCCCCAGGGCTACCATATACAGTGACACAGGTTGTTCACCACACACGTGTTCTCAGCCCAGAAGTGGGCAAGACCCACCCAGCATCCTCGCTGGCAAGCTGCGTGGGCGGGAACAAGCTGCGACTTGCCGGGACGAAGGGAAATCTTTTTTTTATTCTTCACAAGGACACCTTTCCTAGCGCCACCTGCACCCATCCTGAGGGGGTGCAAGCTCCAAGCCACCCCACGCCTCCTGGCTAGCAGCGGCCCTGGCCAGCTCTCCATCACCAGGCGATGTCGAGGGTGATGGTGACCACCTGTGAGGCTTCGAAGCTGCAGCTCCCGCAGCCCTCCTGGGGTGGCGCTGTCTCCGTTGTCCAGCACGGCCAGGGCATAGTTGTCCTCAAAGAGCTGGGTGCCTCGGATGATTCGCAGCCTCTGCAGCGGGACCTGTGTCACTTGGCTGTGAGCGATGAGCACGTAGCCCTGCACCTCCTGGATATCCTGGGAGGGCGCAAGGGAGGTTGGGGTTGAGGCAGGCCTGGGTCCTGGAACACTACCCCCCTCCAAGGCCTCCTCGGGGTTACCCAGTGCGCGGGGACCTTGGGCAAGGCCCCTAGCCCCTGAACGGTCCTGCTCTCTTCGTGTGTAAAATGGAAACCAAGGCCACTCCCCAAACCAGATTCCTGTAGATCAGGAAAGATGATGGTGGGGGAGCACTCGGTGAGCTGGGAGCAGATGCCCCACCCTCTCTGCATCTCAGTTTCTACATCTATAAAAGGAAAGGCTTGGACGAGGTGCCATCGGTGCATTGCATACCTGACCCCACTCCAGGGCACCATGGAAAAGGCTCAGCAGGCTGGTTTCCACTCTCCTGCTCATGACCCTTTCACATACATTTCCCATTTTATCTACAAAATGGGGGAGTCAGAGCATGCCTATTGCTCCCAATATACAGGTAAGAAAACTGAGACCCAGAGCAGACAAGAACCTAGACCACATTCGCATGGTCTGTCAGTGGCAGAACTGGCCCTGAAACCCACATTTCCCACTACTCCGGGTGGGAGAGGGACAGTGGCTGGGCAGTTAGACGGGGGGAGGTGATCATGCTGGCAAGAGAGCAAGAATTTAGCAAAGGGCCTGGCCAGTGTGGTTCAGTGGTTGTGTCGACCTATGAACCCAGAGGTCACGGTTCGATTCCTGGTCAAGGGCACATGCCCGGGTTGCAGGCTGGATTCCCAGTGTGGGGCGTGCAGGAGGCAGCCGATCAATGATTTGCTCTCATCATTGATGTTTCTATCTCTCTCTCCCTCTCCCTCCCTCTCTGAAATCAATAAAAATATATTTTTAAAAAGAATTTAGCGTGCCCTAGCCGGCTTGGCTCAGTGGATAGAGCATCGGCCTGCGGACTGAAGGGTCCCAGGTTCGATTCCGGCCAAGGGCACATGCCTGGGTTGCGGGCTCCATCCCCAGTGTGGGGTGTGCAGGAGGCAGCCAATCAATGATTCTCTCTCATCATTGATGTTTCTCTCTCTCTCCTTCTCCCTTCCTCTCTGAAATCAATAAAGAAATATATTAAAAAAATAAAAGAATTTAGCGAAGGAACAGATGCATTCCACCTAGAGATGTCCACGGCCAGCCACGCTACAGAGAAGGAATCAACTGGCCTTGCACTAGAATGGAGAGGGGTTAGACATCAGAAAGGACTTCCTGTTGAGGAACCGCTAGCGAGGAAATCTAGGCCCGGCTGGCGGCAGGGACTGGCTGGGTTGCCCCTGGCTCTCACCTGTAGGAAGGAGAGGCTGGCATTGCCAGGCAGGTGGGTGAGCTCCAGGTTACCCTGCACCACCTGACAGCCCTGGTAGAGGTGGCGCAGCATGTCCAGGTGGGTCTCAGGACTGGCTGGGAACTGCAGCTTCATGTCTGTGCCGGTGCACACTGGCAGGAGGGAGGAGGCGGGTCAGAGGGCACCGTGCAGGGAGCTGCTCCAACCCGGCTGCCTCCCCCACACTCACTCCCCAGAGGCATGCCCTTGGACAAGGACCCCTCCTCCCATGTCCCTTGCACCTGCAGAAGCTGCAACAGCAAAAGAAAGTTTGCAGGTTTGGGAAGAGGAGGGAAGTCAGGGGAGGGGCTCCGTCTGACTCAGCCCATTCTGAGCATCCGAGGGCCCTGCTGTGTAAGCCTTAGGGAGCTTGCCCTCCCAATCCAGGGGGCTGTTTGCAAAGAAAGCCTCCCTTTGTCCCAAAGCCACGACTCAGGGCCAAGGGGTAAAAAATCCCCCAACGGAGGTGCCGATGAATCATGAGCCCTCTGGATACCCCTATCTCTCCCCCAAGCAAACAAACTCCGGGTATTCTCCCCAGCCCATTCCAATGCCACCCACGTGCCAGCCTCCTGGCAAGGGATACCCACCCCCACAAGGCCACCCAGAAGGTGGGGAAGGAGGGTCAGCTGGAGTCATCGCGGGGGCATGGAGACCACCAGCGGCCTGGCCACTGCAGGGACCTCTAGAATTCCCCCAGGCAGAGACGAGGAGCATCAGACCCCATCTGTGGGCATCCGGGCCCAGGCTGCAGATCCTGGGCCAGAATGATGCCTGCTCTGAAGGCTCCTCCTCTGGTACCTCACCCTCGCCACCTCCTCAGGGCAAGGCTCCAGAAGCAGCTGGCACAATCTATGCCACGAAACTCCTGCCACAAGAGCACTACGTCAGCCCTGTGTGCCTGCCCAGTGCCAACTATCAGCCAACTATCACGATGAACTGCCCCCAGGCCTACCTGGACCCCAGCTGGGTGTCCCTGAAACCAGAAATGCCCCTGAAGCCCAGAAACACAGGACGGGTAAAGCACCCCTGGTGAGGGGGCGCTGGGGGCAGCAGCTGGCACCATGCCTGCCAGCAGGGGGGAGATGAAACTGTCCAGTTGAACTTGTTTTTCTGCTCTGGTGAGAAGATGAATCACCTGGTGCGTCTTGCCCAGGAGGGCGTGCCGGGGGGAGTGGGTGGAGGGCACCCCCAGGTACACAGGCCCACAGGTGCCTGAGCTGCCCGGAATTCCTGCTGGTCCCCACTCCACTTCCTACAGTCTACGTGCAGATTCAGGGGAACAGCAAGGTGGCTGACCTCGAGGTCTGACGCCAGGGCTCCCGCTCGCCCATCAACTTGGAGCTGGAGGTCAAATCCTGAGAGGGGGCAGGTAATAATACCCCCGGCCTCCAGAAAGCTGGGGAAAGGCTGGCGGGGCAAGCCCCACCCTGCCCCCATTGCTTCCTGGGCCTCCTAGTAACTCCAGAGTGCTCTCTGTTCCCACCCCTCTGGGCAGAGAGAGAAGGAAGCAAACAGGGAGGAAGGGGAGAGCCCAGAAATAGAATCCAGGGTCCCTCCCCCCAAGCTCCCAAAAGAAACAGGAGCGGGGTGGCAGGCCAGGCCCAAAATAACGCCCGCTGCCAGGACCTCCCCCAGCCTCCGCAGCTTCAGCTGCTTTGTAGTCACAGCTGTCTCCAGGCCCAGACCCCGAGGCCCTGGCCCAAGCCCGGGAAAGGGACCAGCAGCGCTGGGGCAGGGGCTGTCTCCACCCCCCGCAGCCCTGTGCGGCTTCCAAAGGACACCAGCTGTGGCAGCCAGGCAATAGGAAAACAACAACAATGGAACAGTGGGGGCAGCTGCATCAACTGAGGGCCTACTGTGTGCTCAGCAGGCACTCCGGGGGAGCTTCATAACATCCTGCAGAGGCTGGGACTGAGACCTCTATTTTGCACAGAAGGAAACTGAGGCCGACCGGGGTTATTCTCCCAAGATGATGAAGCCTGTAGGGAGCAGGATTTGAACTCATGTCTGTGTGCCTTTAGAGTCTGCGTTTCTTCCACTAGGCCTAACTGCACACATAGATTAACTCCACGCCCCACACAAACGTAAATACACACCAATCCCACCGGTGCCACTGAAAAACATTACAGGTGCTGGGCAGGGCAGAGTCGCTGGGCTGGGCAGGACCAGAGAGAGTAGCAGCCCCACCCCACTAGTGAATTTGTCTGTGGCTCATTTGAGTCTGATTAAGACTTTTTAAGTGTTGGCAATAGGTGGTAAACTTGGTGCCCTGAGACCCACTCCCAGGGAGCTGGAAGCTTGTGTGCTAATCCCCACATGCACACACCAACCTGACAGAAAGCCCAGAAGGCCTTCCTAACACCTCCCTTACCGCCACCTCCCTCCCCTCCACCAGGACCCTTCCTCCTCTCCTACTCCCCCATCTCCTCACCAGCTCCCCACCCCTCAGTCTCCACCTTCAGCCCCCACTGATTTTCTTGGGGGAGGGGGAGGTCCTGTTCCCTACAGGGGAGCTCTTCGTTTCCAGCACACCTGCCCCTTAGGAGCCACAATTAGGGCAGGGCGCACAGTGGGCACTGGGTGATGGATGGATGGATGGATGGATGGATGGATGGATGGATGATGGACGGATGGGTGGATGGATGGATGGATGGATGGATGATGGACAGATGGGTGGATGAAGTCCAATCAAGAGTCTCCAAACCAAAAGGGACCAGTTGAGGTCACGGTGTCCATCCCACTGCTGAGAGGCTGGTCACAGTCCCTCCCACCTGTCCCTCCAAATAGACTTCAAAGGTCAGGGTTTGGTCCCAGTTCTGGGGGTGTCCTCAAGTGGGTTCTCTCCTCCCCGCCAGCCTTCAGGGCCAGCTGCTTCTCTTGCTCTATACCAGCATGAAAGCCAATACTTCCTTTGGTTTCCATGAACACTACCTGCATTCCCAAAGCTCACCTCCCCGAGACCCACCAACCACACACCGGGTATATCAGGGGGCCTGGGCTCAGGGTCACCAGACCAGAACCCAGCTGGGCCGCTCACTCTGTGACCCTGAGCACATCCTGGGCCTCCAGGGTAGAGGCCAAACCAGGTTCATCTCTGTGGCCAGCAGTGCCTGTGTCTTAGTAGGCCCTCAGTGAATATTCACTGACCTGAACTTAGCTATAAGGAGGGAGTAATAAAACAATAACAGCTCTTCCTTTCTGCAGAGAAGTTAAATGAGAAAATGAATCAAAAAGCAGTTTGTAAACATGACAAGGCTTGGTAAACAGAGCTGGGACAACACAAACATTGGCTATAACTCTCCTACTCCTTAAGAGAGAGCACACCCTTCCCCCTACCTCCACTCTCCTCTCAGGGGTAGACAGGAAAGGTGGCCTAGCAAAAGATGGGGGTGTCACCCCAGAGGGGCTTTCCAAGGCAGAGGGCGGGCATCTTTTTCCAGATCATTCCAGCTACCCAGGGACAGGCATAACTATCTGGGCCCTACACCAGCTCCCCTAGCCCCAGCCTCACCCTGGTCCCTCTTGCTCCTAATGCAGCCGTCTCCTTCTCCACAGCCCTGCAGGTCCCACAGGCCTCCACCCCACTCCAGCCCTCAGTCCCCTGCCATTCCAGGAGGGCGGGCCCAAGCAGAAGGCAGGCATGAGGTGGACAGGGAAAGATGACTCCTAAGCCAAGAGGGGACCTGGGGTGGGCCTAGATAAGGAAGGTCATTCGCCTAAATAACAGAGTAGCACCTCTACCCCAGTCTGGCCACCTGGCTGCCCCTGAGGCTTTGCTCAACTCCTTCCTGTTCAAGAGAATAAGACTGATCAACTCTGTCCTCATTAGAAGCCAAAAATGCCCTGGACATTACTGGGTGGCTGGGAAGCCGTGGATAAGTCGCTTCATCTCCCTGAACTTCCGTTTTCCCCTCCGTGCAGCTACTTCACAGGGTGGTTGCAGAGATGGAGTGAAACTGTCCACGGGTAAGAACCCGGCATAGACGAAGCCAGCTGTGCATTTTTGAGAAGTGAAGGCAAGGGAAGTTCATATAGCAGAAGTGTGGGCCATTCCCACCAAAAGAAAAGAAAAAGTGCTGTGTTCGGAATGTAACGTAATTTCTTTTTGCATTTGATACTCTCTTTTCAATTGTTTTATTGTGAATATTGAAATGAGGTTACTTTCCCTAAGTATAGTCAAATGAAGAAGGAGAGTGTTGGGGGAATCATACAGGGATTAAATATGAGCTCTGCAAGATAAAAAAAGAATGTGTTTGCTGCACCTTACAAAACCTGAACTCCAAGAGGGGTCCCAGTCCTGGGACTTCCCCATCTCCCCTTCCCCGCCATGTTCCTACCCTCAGTCCAGGGATGCAATGGGAGTGGCTAGAGGCAGCTGGGTGGTGTGCTACCATTTTAACCCTTCCCTGCACCGCACGCCCAGCATCTCTCTCTGCACCACCCAGCAGTGCACCCTGATTGCAGAACCGACCCCCCAGATCCCAGCACAGCAGCAACCCAGCCACTCCCCACCTGCCCAACTCACAGGCCCCGGCGAGGACAGCCACTGGGCCTGACAGCCCAGCCTGGCCTCGCCCTTTCCAGCAGGAGGTCAGGGGTGAAGACGCCAGCCTGGGAAACAGGCAGGGAGGGATGGGCTCCAAGGAGAGGAGCCTTGTCCCGGAGAGAAGGCGTGGGGCCACCTCCTGCGCTGTTTACAGCAGCGCTGGCCCAGCACCTTCCTCGAGAGGGCAGAGTTCAACCAAGTCCCCAAGTCAGCAAAGAGAGACCTTGTGTTTAGCAACACAAAGCCCAGACACACACACACACACAGACCACACAACTCAAGAGCACCCTGGCATAGAGGCCCCTCAGATATCACAGCAAGGCTCTGACCGAGGGGCCCTCCGGCAACAGGCAAGAGGACACCACCCCTTCTCCGGACACTCCTGCTAAGACCACCCACCACTCCCAGAACCCCTCCTGTGTCTCCCCTCCACCGGGTGATGGGAGCGGGTCCCCCATCGCTCAAGGTAGACGGGCAGGGAAATGTGTGCTGGGGGTCGCACTGCCCGACCTCCTTAAGCCCAGTTTCCACCTGGAGGACGGGCATACCACAGGCCTGCTCTCCTGGGACGGGTCTGGGGCTTAAAAGAGGGAACACATGCAAAACACCATGCGTAGGGCCTGGCGCCGAGTCTATGTCCAGGTTCAGTCGTTCTTGCAGACAGAGGGACAAGTGGGGCAGGACACGGTGCTCCCCTATCGCCCTTCCCCGCACACAGCACGAGGGAAGGCAGGACTCCCAGCCTCTGCACAGCCCGTCTGGCCCCATCCCTGCGCCTCCCCACACCACGCGCCCGGTAGCCCTCGCGTTTATGCCTCAGACCAGGACACCCACCCGTGCTCTCCAAGAGTCACAGGGCGCCGTCCCTGCGCTGGCCTCGAAGAAACGGATTCAAAACTCACGTCTCGCCCTCCCCCACCCCCCGCCCCAGCCCAGGCTCCAGCGCCGGCGACTCCGCGGTCCGACCGGCCACCCTCTCCTCCGGGCTCTCGGTGGACAGGCTGCTCTCCCCACCGCCCCCTCCACACCCAGATCGCGCCTGAAGCCGGAGAAACCAAACCCAATCGGCCGAGGAGGGGCGGGGAGGGGAGGGGGGCGGGCGGCCAGGGCTGCAGGGACCCCCAGGAATCCAGCCCAGGCCGGGCCGGAGGCGGAGGCTGCCAACTGGAGAGGCTTTGAGAGGCTCGAGGGGGCTGGAGAGGAGGCGCGCACACACACACGCCCCGTGCAACACGCCCTTTGAGGGAAACTTTCTGAACCATTTCAGGGAACTTTTCTGACAAGTTCCCGGCGCAATCCCGGAGTCTGGAAAGCGCCGGTCTCCCGAATGGGGCAGCGAGAGGCGCCGCGGGGTAACTGCGCCCCCCCGACCCCCTTCTTTGGCCCCCTCCCCGCCGAGAGCTGGACAGTCCGAAACTTCGGGTCCGGGAGCTCGCACGGCCCCCTCCGCCCGCCTGCCCGGGGGTTTGAGGGGGGGGGGGTCCCAGGCTGCGGGGTCCCGTCGCGGCTCCCTGCCCTCCCCACCCCACCCCGGACTCACCTTGGGTGCCCGCGGCTCCGGGGGGCAGGAGGGCGAGGAGGAGCCCCCAGCGGTACCAGGCCGCCAGCTCCATTGTCCTCACCGCGGCTCGGGTCCCATGGCTCCGGCTGGACCAGGCTGGGGGGGCGGCGCGCGCAGGGGCCGGGAGCTCCGCGCCGAGAGGGCTCCCCGCGAAGGGGCGGGCAGCTGCCGGGGGGGCTCCGCTCGGCTCTCTGCGCGCTTCGGAGGGGAATCTCAGCTCCACAACTTCATTCTCGCACTTCCTCGAGGCTGCCTCCTCCTCCCCCGCCTCCTGCTCCTGTGATTGGGAGCGGCGCGCCCGGCGACCCCCACCCCCTCCAACCACATTCCAGCAAGTCCCTGGGAGTGGCAACCGCGGCTTCACTTTCTCCCTCCGCGCAGGCCTGGGTGCGTCCCGCCCAGCGCCCGGGCGCCCGGTGCCGGCCGCCGTTCCCACCCGGGTCCGTGGAGAACCCCCCAAAGCAGAGGAGGCGGTTGCGCCCCCTCCCCCGGGAGTCGGGGGCAACGGGTTTAGGCTGCCCTCCGCTTTTAAGGCGCAGGTTTCATCCGTAAACATTCCTGGCGAGTTTGCAGCCTACTCCATCACATGCCCATTCGTTTTAATAGCAAATAATGGTTTTCCCACCCCATCCTTAAGTAACATCGATAGCCCAGGGGGGAGGGAGGGGGTGTCGTGCTTAACTTGTGGCTCCCAGGCTTACCTTCTCGAATCTTGTAGGTATATTTTCCAGTCTGAAAAGCAGGGTTTTAAGAGGGTCTGCAAGTTTGGGGAGAGAGGGTCCCATTGGAGGCACCGCCCATTTGAAGAACAGCCCTCTTGTTTCTTTACCCCTGGGGCACTCAGCACCGATTTATCCAAGGGTTCCGGTCTGTCCCGCACCTTCCACTGGCAGCTCAGTTTCCCCGCCCCTCCCTGCATTCCAGCCGCAGCCCCTGACCCGGTACGTAAGGCCCAGTGGGGGGTGGATTGGGGGTGGGGGGCTGGAAGAAAGACACGTTTTTGTTGGAAATTCCAACAAAATATTTCACGGGACATACCACTAAGTCTTACACTGACAAATTATTCCTTTTTGATCTGAAATGCTAATGTAACTGGGCAGCCTTATTTTTATTTGCCAAATCTGGCCACTCTGGTTGGAATGCCTCAGCCAAGAGCAGGCTTGTGCTGCTCAAGGAGGGGATCAGAGGCACCTCCTGGGAACTGAAGAATGGACTCCAGCATTTCTTCCTTTTTTTTTTTTTTTAAATCCTCACCCAAGGATATTTTCCCATTAATTTTTAGAGAGAGTGGAAGAGAGAGGAAAAGACAGAGAGAAATACCGATGTGAGAGAAACGCATCAATTGGTTGCCTCCTGCATAAACCCTGACCAGGGCCTGGCCTGGGACGAGCCTGCAACCAGGGCTGATGCTCTATCCACTAGTATTTCTTCTTTTAAAAAATGTTGATTGATTTGAGAAAGAGAGAGAGAGGAAAACAGAGAGAGAGGGAGAAAGAGAGAGAAACATCGATTTGCTGTTCCAGTTACTTATGCATTCATTGGTTGATCCTTGCATGTGCCCTGAGTGGGGATTAAACCTGGAACCTTGGCATATCTGGACCACGGAGCTAACCAGACAGGGCTGGACAGTAGCCTTTCTTAACCTGCCTCCATATTCCCTAGCATGGTGACAGGCAGGCACTTTCACAATAGGGGGCATGGAGAATAGGGTGCTCTGGGGCCAGAAAGACCTGGGTTCAAATTTCCACTCCACCACAGGTTAGCTGAGTGACCTCAGGCAAGTGGCTGAACCTCTCTTAGTCTGTTTGCTCACTTGTGAAATAGCATCTGTGCTCCGGGTTAAAGGATAATGCTACTGAAGCATTCGGTACAGTACTTGCCCATAGTAATTTCTCAATAAATGGTCACAGGGTTAGTGTATACGGCTGCAGATCTAGGTTTTGTGGGGCCTGAAAGTTATGAAATTTGGGAGCTTCTTTTTAGGAAACGGAATACAAAAGTTATGAATACAAAAATTGACGCATGCTCCAGCTCTAACCAGTGATAGTCAAACTAGAGACCAGGTTCTATTAGAAGGTCAGTCATTGTTGAGGTCCAACCCCAGCAGGTCCAGGGGTCCCCAAAGGTGTGGACGGAGTCGGCAAAGAAGGAATGACACAGAGACAGCATTCAGTTGATCAGCAGAATAGCCAGGATCTCCAGCCAAGTTCTGTCTTTTATTGTATTGTTACATCTGTATTTATACCAGTTGATTTTAATCCTGTCAATTTCTATTCCAAAGGTTAGGGCGTTTCTTATCTCCATTCCAGGGAGTAAAGATGATGTAGCTTAAGGGTGATTGTTTGTAGTTGAAGTGATTAACTACCAGCCTGGCATTTAGTTAAAGGGTTTTATTCCCTCCCTAACTTCAGGGAAAAATCCCTACCTGGGGAAACAACCTTTCTCGGAGAGGTGACCTTGGTTAAAACACATAGCGCCAAGAAAGGGAGCAAACATATTAAGAACAGTATGCCATATACGCCAGGTCCCTTGAAACATATGCTGTGCAGATGTTTCTTCCCTGCAGCAACCGTGTCAAGCAGCAAGGATGGACTGGCTTCCGGCAAGTCATGAGTCCAATTTAGATCATTTAGACATTTTTTGTTTGTTTTTGTTTGTTTGCTTAAGAAATAGAACAGAATGCCCTGGCCCGGTAGCTCGGTTGGTTGGAGCATTGTCCTGATGCACCAGGGTTGGGGGTTCGATCCCTGGTCAGGGCACATGCAGGAGTCAACCATGGGTGGGCACACTGATGGGTGGAACAACAGTTCAGTGTTTCTTCCTTCCTCTCTCTCTTTCTCAAAAATCAATAAATAAAATTTAAAAAAAGAAATAGAATGGAATCGAAAAGATTCATGAATATCACATGCAGGAAGGATAAGGGTGGGTAAAGGTATGTGTGTCCCGGGGATGAGGTCCAATGGATTTATTCCTTGAATAATACTCATAAACGTTCAAGAAATCCTGCTGTGTGTGGAGACACAGCTGCCCTTCGTGGTGGGCACCAAAACCCCTCTTTTCTCTAGGGTTCAAGTTAAGAGTTAGAGAGGGTGAGGGTCAAGGAAACAGGCTCAAACGAGTTAACCAATTTGTCCAGGACCCTCTCATGGCTAATAAGGAAGAAGTGGAACAGCCAGCAAAATCACGCCTGCCCCTCACCCCATCACACAGCCCAGGACCTGGGCAAGGTGCCTCTCAGCTCTTCAGGGTGAGGAGACAGTGACCTGGCTCCCAGAGTCACTTGCTGGACACTCACTGGACAGCTTGAGCCTGGGCTTGTGTGCATTCGGCCTTCAAGGGACCATCAGGTGTTAGGGTCCCCCAGCCCCCCTGACATTGGGTTAGGAGGGCTGGTCCAGCCGGGAAAGCTGCTGTGACAGCTTCACTGGGCCCCCTACCCCGTGCTAAAGCCAGAGGAGGCAGAAGAGGAAACCTCAGGTTCCCAGATAATGGGAACTGAGGCATGAATGAGGCTGTGGCTTCGTCCATTCCACTCCAGAGCCAGAATGAAGGGTACCACGAACCCACCTTCACCCCATGCCCCTGCAGGGGATCCAGGGGAGGGCCCTCCAAGAAATCCTGGAAACTAACAACCGGTCCCACCCCCCTCTCCTGCCCAGCTCAGCCAAGCCCACCCTCTCTGCATCCCAGATCCCTGAAGGAAACCCAAACCGGAGACAATGGTCAGTCCGAGTGGGCTGCCAAAAGGGGGGCGGAGCCAGCGGGCGGGAGTGGGATAGGGAGGAGCAGAGGTCTGAACTCAGGCTCTGGGGAGGAGGCTCAACAAGGGCCCAGGCTCCCAGAGAGAATGAGCCCATTCAGAGCTGGGAAGGAAGGGGAAAAAACCTTGTCTGGTGTTTGACAAGAGGCGAGGAAGGGGGGCAGGGGTGGGCGCTGCCGATTCGCTTCTCCCCTCCACTGCCCCCCCAGCAGGGCCTGGCAGGAGAGCCAAGGAAGGAGGATGTCTGAGGGACAAAGGCTGGGAGGGGAGGGCACTGGGGGAGGGCGGGAGTGGGGGGACCAATGTGGTTGCTAGAGGAGCCTGAGAGTTTGCCAGCAGGGTCCAGTAAGGACCGGGGAGGAAGACAACAGGGCAGAGGGGAGCCAGGCCAGAGGACAGATGCGTGAGATCTGCACGAGAGGGTCTTTGGGCGACAGGTTCCTGGCCTCTGAGCAGCGGAGGTGACCACTGGCACTGCAGAGGCAGGAAGGGGCTCTGGTTTAGGGAAGGTGACCTCCAGGATCAACAGACTGGGGTCTGGAACCAGCAGCCTGTGAAATGCCAATCAATCATTGACCAGCCACTGAGACTGGGGGCCTCAGGAGACTCTGTTGTGTGTGGCTGTGTGTGTGTGTGCTCTGTGTGTGTGTGTGTGTGTGCTCGCGCCCGTGTTGGCACCAGAGTCTCCTCCCTCTGCCTTCCTCACCTGCCAGCCTGGGTCAGAGGATTGAAAACAAACAGAAAAAGGGAGGAGACGGCTCACAGTTCACAGTCCGAGGTCCAGGCCACAAAACTGGGGCCTACCCCACAGGGCCTCGGATCTGGGATTGCTGGGGAAGCGTCTGTATGAGTTAGTTACTGGGACAGGGCCTGCAGAAAGTGGGCCCCAGGCCTCCCTGGGGCCACTGGAGAGTGATTTGGAAGGTTTTGGTCAGAAAATCTGAACTTCCAAAAGGTGGCCTTTTAAGAATACTTGCGCCGAAACCGGTTTGGCTCAGTGGATAGAGCGTCGGCCTGCGGACTGAAAGGTCCCAGGTTCGATTCCGGTCAAGGGCATGTACCTGGGTTGCAGGCACATCCCCAGTGGGGGATGTGCAGGAGGCGGCTGATCGATGTTTCTCTCTCATCGATGTTTCTGACTCTCTATCTCTCTCCCTTCCTCTCTGTAAAAAATCAATAAAATATTTAAAAAAAAAAAAAAAAAAAAAGAATACTTGCAACCTAACCGCTGGAAGGTTAGCCCCAGTCCCGAGGTTAAAAAGGGAGCACTTCAGACACGCTGACCCTGGGCATGCTGACCGCCTCCCTCGGTCCCTCTCACCCCCATCTCGGTGTGCAGGCCCAAGGCCTTTCTCTCTCCCTAGGCTGTTTTGCCAAGACAAAAATCTCTCTGGGCCCTGGCCTGTATGGTTACATGGTTAGAGCATCAGCCCTCACACCAAAGGGTCACGGGTTCGATTCCCAGTCAAGGGCACACACCTGGATTGCAAATTC